GGTTCCGGTCCCAGACCACAGACCTGGCGAGCCGGGCTTCAGTTGGGCGGAGCTCCACCAAGGCCCCACCCCAACCTCGCCTGGCCTTTCCATTCGCCTGGAGCACCGGTGCACTCCATCTACTCGGCTTCATTCAGCCCTGCCCCTCAACTCAGTGAGCTCCTCCACATATGCCCTCCTCCCCCATTGGTCCCACCCCCCTGACCCTACCCACCGGAGTCTCGTGTTGATCCGAAGTGCCTTTGCCAGCATCTTGGCACCGGTGTCCCCCATGGCGTTGCCACTGATATCCAGGGCTGTCAAGTTTGGATTGGTGCCAAGCGCCCGGAGTAGGACGCCTGCGCCCAGCTTCAGCCGCGACTCAGCCACGGACAGAGACTGCAGGGGCTAGGGTTCAGAGAATGCCATTTGTGGTTGGAGTTAGGCATCAACAAGGAGTGCAGGTCCCAGGGTCCCAGGGAGCAGGAATCAGAGAGGTGAGAGGGTCCATTGCCTGAGGATCCTACATGGTCCCGTAAACTCACACAGTCGTCATCCTGCATGAGCTGGACAATCCGGTGCAGGACGTCGTCCAGGGTCTCCCTGTGGGCAGGGGCTGCGGTTGGATGGGGGCTGGGACCCGGGTGGTGGGTTGCTGTCTGGGAGGCCCAGGAGTTGGATGGATCCTCACTTGCACCGGACGTTGAAGTTCCTTCCAAGTGCCACATGTCTCAGGGACCGACTCCTCCCAATGGCCAGCACCAGAGTCACCATGTCTGAGCCGAAGCCTGGGGTGGTTCGGGTCATGCACAAAGCAAGTGAGGCTGGTGGGGGGCGATGGTGGAAACTGAGTGGATAGTGGGAGGATGGGTTTCTGAGCAGCCTCACCATTATCCGCCAGATCCAGGGATCTCACCGCGCCAGCATCGCACACTAAGTCTTGTATCACCTGAGCGCCTGCGGAGCGCAGCTGAAGGTGGAAGGTGGGGCAAGTTCAAGCTAACAGGCCACAGGTGGGGAGAATCAGGCGCCCAACGGCCCGGTGCTCCCGCCTCGCGGCCTCACGCCCAATGTGTGGGCCCACCGCCCGTTCATGTTTTGGGGCTGGGCGCTCACCTCACAAGCGCTGAGGTCCAGGTGCAGGTTGTCCAAGTGCGTGTTGAGAGCGAGGCCTTCCAAAAGCGCCCTGGGAAGGAATGTCGCAAGAGGTGGAGGGAGCTGGGAAAAGGGGCCCCAGGGAGCGAACCAATAGCAAGAAGGGAGGGCCAGGATACCAGGGAGGTCATGGGTGCCGCAAGAGCGGGGTGAAGCGCAGGAGGCTTGGTCTGAGTGGTGGCCACACAGGCCGAAGGGGTGGCCGTGGGCAGTGACACTGACCTGAGCGCGTCGGGGGGCAGCTTACAGCCCGCCAGGCCCAGGTGTCGAAGCGCCCCTGCGCGGCTTAGGAAGAGCTGCAGCGCCTCGGGCGCAGCCCGGGACTTCCTGGGGTGGGGGAGTGGGAGGAGTGGGCTTCCGGGCGCAGGGAGGCGGCACCGGCATATCCCCTACCCCCGCAGGACCCGCCCCCCTTACGTGCGGGAGAAGACGTTCCTCGAAGCGTCGAGGTGGGTGAGGCTGGCGCAGCAGCCGCGGGACAGCGCTGCAAAGAGCTGCGGGAGGAGGGTGTGGGCTACACTGGTCAGAGGACTCAGCCCCTTCCCGCCCTGCCCTCCAGTCGACCTTTGGGTCCTGGGCCCGGCCACCAGCCCTACGGATCATCCCCCCACTGACCACCCCCTCACAATGTCCAGGGCGGTGTCGGTGCTTGCGAGATTCAGGAACGTCAAAACATTAGGACGGCTCAGGAAACTATAGAGGTCCTGGTGGGAGGATGAAGATGAGAAGGAGGGAGTCAGGGATGACCTCGCCAAGAGCTTCTTAACATCCCATTGCCTGCAGAACCACTCACCCCATTGTCTTCCGAGGCTCCCAGTGCCCCGGGGTTTCCGGAAAGGTCCAAGTGGGTCAAGGCAGAATCAAAGGCGGCATTGGAAGCCAGTGCCCGGCCCAGAGCCCTCATTCCTAGTGATGGAGGAGGGGGGCTCACAATTAGGCTGACCCACCTCCCCACTCCACCTACCCCATGCCATCCTAGGCCCCACCTACCTCGTGGTGTCAACCCAGTTTGTGCTAGGCTGAGTCTCCTCAGGGCTCCAGGACGATGCTCTAGGTGTCTGCTGAGCGCAGCCACGCCTGAGGGTTGGGGGCAGCCATATGGGTCTCACCTCCTCCAGTGCCACCTCCCCAGGGTTCCCCAGGCTCAGGGGCATACCTCGGTCATCCAGCAGGTTCCCTGACAGGCTGAGCTCTCGCAGCCCAGAATTCTTGTGCCCTGCCAGCGCCTGGGCCAGTCGCCTGACAAAGTCTCTGGGAATCAGACCCCAGGTATGAGACTGACCCTGGATTCCCAACCCCTCCCCTGACCACTAATTTCCCCATCCCAAGTTCCCAGACTCCCCTCCCCAAGCCCTGCCCTATTCCCCTCACCCCCTGAGGCCACAGGTCTCCAGCACCAGCTCCTCCAGGTGTGATGACTGACTCATCATGTGCAGAATCTGTTCTGAGACCTCAAGGCTCTGAGAACCAGAGTGGGAGCTCAGTGAGCTGCACCCTGGCCCTTGCACCCTTGGCCCCTCTCTGCCCCTACTCTCACCAGCTTCATGTCCACACAGGAGAGGCACCGGAACCACAGGTTGTAGGACAGCGCAGCCACACTCAAGGCTAGATCTCTGGGTGGTAGAAGGGGCAGGGGCAGAGCTCATGGCCCTCCAGCCAGATTCTAAGCCCAGCGTCCCCTTGCATGGAGAGGCTAAGGCCCAGGAATGTGGGTCATGGACTCTTCCTCTCTTCACATTCCTGGTGGGCCACTCACCTACTTCCCAGATGGCTGAAGTCTCCTAGGCTGAAATGGCGGCAGCCCTGACGATGGTAGATGGTGTCCACATCCTGGATAGGAAGAAAGTGTCTCCAACTTGGCTTGGGGCCAAAAGAGGTAGGGAGGGACTCAAAGCACATGAGGGATCAGATGTCTCCAGAGCCCCCAGAGAGGGCCCTACTCTCACCCACTGAATCTCCTCTCGGAAAGGGAAGCCATTGTAGTCACACAGAGCCTCATATGTCTCCGAGAAGCCACCTGGGGAAGCGCCAGGGGTGTGATATGCAGGGGTAAGGGTAGGAAAGAGATGAAAGTCAGAGATGGAGGAAGATCAGCCCCGAGCTGGGTGGTGGCTGCTCCTTGAGTAGCTCGATTCAGTTTGGAAGACCTCTATACCCAGCGGTCAGGGTGCAGGAGGGAGTAGGCTGGAAGCCCTGTGTAGCCCCACCTTAGCCCTTACCACAGGGGCTGCTGGGGGAGGTGGCCTCTGAAGGGCTGCTTCTCTCCAGCCGAGCCAGCATGGAGGCGGGTGTGGGCTTCCGGAATAGCTTCCTAGAGAGGCGAATAAAGGAGAAGGGGGCAAGGGACGTCTAGCCCCTGAGAGTGGGGGAGCCCACTGTGTCAGCCAGAGCCACCCCCCCCACTGCCCTCCTTCTCTGCCACACCCTTTAGTTTCTGGACCTCACCCAAGTGTGGAGCGAGGGAAGACCTTCCTAATGGCAGCAGCAACGTGCTGGGCCAGCTGTTCCACAGCAGCCGCACCAGGAAACTCCAGGACCAAATCAGGCAGGGACTCCAGCTCAAAGGTGACCTGGGGAGGGAAGGTGTGAGACTGGGTTCCCTGTGTAGGCATGTGGGGAGAGAGGAAGACCACGCTGCAGGCCCTGGTGGGGTACCACGGGGTCTCACCTGAGGAGGTGTCTCCTGCAGTGCCATGGCCTGGACCTCCAGGTAGCTGAACGTGCAGTCCACCTATGGAGTACCTGGGTCAGCCAGGACCAAGGCCCGAGCCCCACCCTCCTGGGAGCCCAGTCCTTTGTGCAGCCTGGTGCTCAGAGCTAGACCTGCTGGGACTCCAGTCCTGCCTGCTGCCAGAAGCCCAGTGCTGTTGGAAGGGCAGGGCCCACAAGGACAAGATGGACAATGCTGCAGATGCAGCCCTCATCAAGGAAGCTGCTGGAAGGCAATAGGCATCTGGGCCCTGGGACTCACCCTCAGGGGGAAGCAGGTGTGGAGCAGGTAGGCTCTCCATCGGAGCAGTGCCTGAGGGGAGAAAGTGTCTGACATCCTGCATAGGGCAAGAGGCTCTTTCTGCCTGGGCCCCAGCGGCCCTCCCAGGCTCTGTCTCATCCATACCAGGACATGAACTTGCTCAGCGCCCACCCTGTCTGGCAGCCAGGTTTTCAGCAGCAGCTCTGCCTCCTTCGGCCATAGGAACCTGGTGATCTCGCCTGTGGAAGGGCAGCGTGCTGGGTGACTCGTCCTCCCATGGAGGTCAATTTGTGCCTAGAGTCTGTACCAGACTTGGGGAACTCGGCTCACACATGGGCCAGCAAGTAAGGAGTGGCGTGGATCTGGGGCACCAAACCTCTGGAAGAGCAGAGGAAACCCCTTGCCCAGTACTCTGGCTCGCTGTGTGGGCCTCTGGTTTGGCGGCCCACACTGCTTCCTCCCAGCCAAACAGGCGAGAAGGGCCAGCGCTTACCTCGCAGCTCACAGGATATGCCGTCGGGGGTCTGGGCCATGGAGCCGGCCCGACGGCCGGGTGGCCCAAGGAGCTCCGACGATAAATGGTAGCGGCGGGCGCGAACAGGAAGCCTGGGGCCCAGGCCCGCACTGCAGCCACCTGCTCCTCCTGCAGCGGAAGGTACGCGCTGCTTCCTGCCAGGCCGCCCCCCGGCCCGGCTCCTCCCCGCCCCGGCCTTCGCGGGCCGGGAGATGTCTCGCGGGTGCGACGATGTAGGAGGCGGGCAGAATCCCAGCTGTCTGCCCGCCCAGTCGCGGAGGGTCTACTGGGTTAGGGTGGACACGAGGAGGGCGTGGCGTGGCCAAGAAAATCTCGCGTGCCTCTTTCAGTTCCTAGTCCCCTACTTCCACCCCGCACCACAGTCCCTGCCTCGAGCACCAGGGGGCGCTGCCCGCTCGGGGATCTCCGCCTCCAGCCTCTGTCCGTCCCCTCCAAAGCTCAGCTAGCTGAGTGGTGGGTGGGGGTGGCGACGACGGGGGACCGCAAGGGGCGTCTATTAAGCAAGGGGTGTTTTTGTTGGCTCTTTCCCAACACCCGGGTCCTAAACTGAAGGACCTTATCTGTTGCTCCTGACCTGGAGCCCGTGATCCCCTTGGGGTGACACAAGCTGTTGAAAGTGTGGAAAAACCAGATGGACCCAGATGCCCTTCTCTGTGGCAGAGGTTCCTCAGCTTCATCAGGGTCAAGCTGGAGCAGGGCCACAAGTTGGGTGTGTAACCCTCAGGCGGCAGCCTCGGGCTAAGGCCTGAACCCCAAAGGGCTGCAGGGAGGGGTGGAGTGATTCATGAGCAAAGGCAGGGTACATGGGGCTCCCCCCCCCGTGTCTGCATTGTCCCTGACTGGAGTTTGGAGAAGGGAACCAGTAGGAGAGGGAAGCTACTGTCTTCAGGGCTGGGAGGGGTCAGAAGATCAGCGGGTGCATATAGGTGCATCATACCCTATAAGACCAGACCTTGATTCTGGAGGGTTCACAGGAGCGGATTCAATTTTTTTCTTACATTACAATCGAATTAAACTCTGTGACATAAGGAACAGCCTTCTGCCCACAGCTCAGCCAGGCACAGGTGAAATAACCTGAGACATGAAAAGACACCGAGTGCTTTGGTTTCTTTCCCGTCTCTAGTTACCCCTCCCCACCTTGGGGCTTGGAGACAATGGGAGCATTTTCCAGTCATCTGACCACCCCCTACCCACAAAAAAAATCTCATGTTTTTGCTGAGGTCCACCAAAGACCAGGCCAAAGTGGAAAGTAGAAACTGAATAGTAACAACTTGGGGGAAGGTACTTGCTGTAAATCAACAGGCCCAGTGGCGGCGGCCAAGGGCCGATGGGAGGACTAACTCAGCTGGAGAGGCTGCTGAGTTCCTACCAACAGAGGCAAGAAGAGGTCCTGCTCTGCTTCTAGTTTGAAAGAAGAGTTTGGGCAAAGACTCTTACAAGACCACAGAGAACCCACAAAATGTTTTTAGGATGCAAGCTCAGTAGGTCTCACACAGAGTATGGCCAAGTGGTCAATAATGCAGGTTCCGAAGGAACAAGGCCTGAATTCAAGTCCTGACTCCACCTCTTACCGGCTGTCATTTAACCTTTCTGGGTTTCCAGTTCCTGTTTTGTAAACTGGAGCTATTAACTTACCTCAAAGTGTAAGGATTAAATGTTAAGAGAGGTGCTCACAACAGTGCCTGGCAATCAGTGAACACTCACATTTGCCATCTTACCGTGGCAGCCTTAGGACTCCAAACCGAAGGATAGAAAACCCACCTTACTGAGACTTTTCTGTTGAAAAAGATAGGGATGAGAAATTCAAGAAGGAATGAATGCCAAAGGGCTCAAGCTGCTCCCAGGCAGAGGGAGTCTTGAGACCGACAGCCACGCTGGTGGCAAGTCCATGTCTGGTGAGTGCTGTGGGGACAGGCAGGGGGCGGTGGAGGAAGAAGCTAGGATCAGCCTGGAGATCAGGATGGGGCGGGTGGTGTGTGTGTGTCTTGGGTGCTGGGCTAGCTACACATCTCCGTAACTGCTCACTGTAGGGATGGCAGTGAGGCAGTGACAAAACAAACTGCTCAGAGCCCAAGTGATACATGGGACTCAGCTCCCACAAGTAAGGGACTCAGTGAGAGGGAGAGGCCTTCAGCTTGCTCAAGCCCATCTGTGTTCTAGACAGCATGACACTCCGTGGGCACTCGGGAAATGCTAACAACTCATAATGAGGAATAACCCCCTCCTGCTCCAGCAGCACAAGATGACAGGCCAGGCTGCAGCTCCCAGAGCTACCACAAGGCTCCCCTCAGATGGTTTCAAAAGACAAGATCCTGACCAAGAGCAAGACAGAGCTCAGTGCTTGCTGTGCTAGCTGGCAGTGGATGAGGTAATGCAAGCCCAGCTGTGGAAAGGGTATAGACTATTTCTTTACTCCAGGACCAACTATGGTTAACAGTGGGGTAGAGTGCTGCACACAGGCCAGGGAACCTTCCGATCAAAAGTTCTGTGGTGAGGTTTTATATTTAATGGAGCCCAATAGGTTGTACCATGGGGCTCTGTCAATGCGGGAGCCCTTTTCAGCCTTAACTGCAACGGAATGTCACTTTTCTTGCCCCCTCCCCATCCAAAACAAATCCACTCTTAAACCTGTAAACAATTTGAATGCATACATAAGAAAAGCTATGTTGAGGATACAGATAAACGGCTCACTGTTCTGTGAGGAGATTTTCTATAATAAATACTTAAAAATTTTAAAAAGCTATGTGCCCACTGAAACAACTCTGGTAGGGAGCACTCTGGCCTCCTGTGGTGGGGGCTAGCCCATGCAAGGGATGGAGACCAAATGCCCTGACAGTCTCAGGCCACTAATATTCAGTCCAAGTTGCCGACTACCTGGTTCAGAGCCCTGAGGCTCCAGATGATACCGATTTTTCTGGGAGACCGAACTGCATGGACAGCACAAACCAGCCAAAGGCTTCACACATCTTATTCCTTGTGACTTGACTTCTCCCTGAAAACTGGTAAGCTGGAATTTGGTTAAAAAAAACCCTGTAATTAGTGGCTAAAGCTTTCACCTAAAATGGATTTGCCAAAGCAATCCACCCAGAAACAGCCAGCAGCAGCAAGACGGTATCTCACTAATACATAAACTTTCTAACACGACTCCTTTTCCATCTTGCCTCCCTGGTGCTAACAGCAGCTAGGCTATCTAGGACTCTCTCCCCACAGTGGCACATACGTCTTCCCTTTTCAAATGAACTCCTCTAGGGCAGATGGGGCCTGGCTTCTCTGTTCCCTTTCTCTTGGCAAAGCCCAGGGTACTGATCCCAGCTCTCCTGAGCTGAAATGCCGAGGCCAGAGCTTCCCAACAGCCCTTTCTCCTCTAAGCTCTCTGGCCCATCTGCTCTACCTTCGGGAACCTGCTCTTCAGGTGGATCATGGAGGCTGACAGCTGTCTATCCACTCACTTCTCTACTCACACAAGCTTTCAGGGTGTTAAAACATGCAGAAGGATGCACTCAATTATTTCATCATCTGCCAAAATCATCTCCCACCTTCTAAAAAAGAAGTGGTCATCCTGGGAAACAGCTTGCCTCTGAAAGGCAAGCAGGCCTGTACTGCCTAAGGCTACTCACACAGACCCCTCTGGGCCCCTCCTTAGGGAGGAATCACACAAGACTGAGTATTTGGAGCACTTGTTAATCCGTTATGATTTATTAGCTGTACAGCAGTAGATCCTCCTCCCCAGCTCTCAACCCCATTACATATTTTATTACAGGTCTCATGTTGGCGTCCTAAAATAATGAAAAATTATCACACAGTACAGCTAAGTACAAAATGCATCAACCTAGAGTCTGATAGCTAACTGATGGCTCTCTTAAAAGCAATACACAGAAGAAAAGTATTTGAAATCAGCAAGACTGAGGCTCTCTAAAAAACACATTTTAAACATGTGACAGTTCATGTGCAAGAATCACTTTTTTGTTGGTTTTGCTTCACATTATTACTTTTCGCAGATCCCAAGTTTAAATTACTGACCTAGTGAAATTTTCTGGCCCAGCTTTTAAGGGCTGCTGTGACCCACTCATGATCACCCTTCCACTTTAACAGAGGATTTATAAAATACAAAATTCAGCTACAAACAAAGCAAAGAAAATGTAGATGGGAAATCATAACTGAAAGTTAATTGTACAATGTTCAAATGCTGGCTCCATGGGCTGGAAATTGCAATCTTCCACATGGGTGTCCATTACTAGCGGGCAGCAGTCTGGGTGCCATTCTGCTACATGATTGTGATCCAATTCCTTGTCAACATTTACATACTACAGAGTCTGTGGAAACTTAATTTGCAAGTAATTAAAATGCTGGGTTTTCTTACACTGCACTTCTTTTCAACCTCTTAATTAATGGAAAAGATTAAAATGTAAAAAAAGTTATTTACAAGCTTGACCATACCAGAAACTCTGCCAAGAAAGAGGCAAAGTCTTCAGGACAGAAACCGATCGTAGCATGCCATACTACTGGTGTGCAGCTGACTCCAAGCAAAGGGAGTCAGGGAAAAGCAAAAGCAAAAACCAGTTTAAAAGTCTAAGTCCTTCCCAAGTCTGCATTTACAATTAAAAACTCTCCTGGGAAGAAGACCATAGAACTCTGGGAAACCGGGTTGTGGTTTCTGGAGTGGTTTACCATAGCAATCGAGAGGGTTCAATGTCTCTGTTTCCATCTAAGAAAACCAGTTAGGTGTCAACACTGTCCTCAGCACTTCACAGTAAACCCTCAGGGACTCAGAACATTCCATGATTTGCTAACATCAAACAGCAAGTTCTAGTTAAATCACATTTTTCTAACATCATCCTTGAAGTTTTAGTTCTCAGTATGTTTGGTAAAATTATGCTTTTCCCAAAGCCAAACAGAAGAAAGAAGGGAGAAAAATTAAGATGCGGGCCGCTTAAACACAGCCCAAAGCAGTCCTGGCAATGAGCGAGGCCCCGCCATCACCGGTCCATCATACTGAGGATCATCTCGGGTGTGAGGTCTCCGTTGGGGGCATCTGTGGCAGCAGGCTGAGCCTCCTCTTCCTCCCCCTCTGCGGGCTCTGCGTCTGGCTCTTTTTTGACTTCAACTATAATGTTCTCAATTGCACCTGTATTCTGGTCTTCAACCTGAATGATGGCTGTTGCTGGCAAAGAAGAGCATGAACAAAACAAATGCTCCATTAAAGCCCCCAAGGATTGTAAAGGTCTTTTTAGACTTGACACTAAATGAATGTCAGCAACACAGGAAAAGCCTTAGTAGTGATACAGAGAAAGTCAATTTAAAAAAAAGACTTAGTAATAACGGAAAATG